TAAACGATAATAAAGATTAGGAAAATCTACAGATATAAATCAACAACACTTCCAAAAAAATAAAATGCATATAGCAGTTATGAAAGTAATATTTCACTGCGTATCTTAATTCCGCACGCACAAGACTATATAAACACCGTTTTCGTAGGAAAAATTGCTGGAAGTAAGGATTAATGAGTGGGACTACATAAGCTACTTTTGCCTCAGTTTTATCTGAGAGAGTCAGATGCACTCTCCAAAAGAGCCACATCTTGCTCGCGAACCGTACATTCTCGACCCCTGCCCTAGAGGAAGTTATTGAAAGAATCAAAAAGAACTGTAAATTTCATCTCTCTGAATGAAGGAAGTCAACACTAAGTAGACCGGAAAGACGCCTCTGTAACGAAGTGGACAAACTGAGCACTATACAAAACCACTCTGAGTTTGAGTACTCAGCACTACTCCACTCCACTATTTAAACGGTCTTGCGTAATTACCTGACGGGATGGTCACTTGCCAGTGCCAACACATTCTTTCAATTTTTCACCAATCATCGCATCACTATCGCCTCACAGACACTGGACGACAAGTACTTGGAAACAGCTAAAGGCGGTCAGGAGGGATATACTGTGCTTTAGCGCTTGGTAAGCGTAGCGTGGAAGTGCGCACCACGAAACGAGCGAAAAATTTAAACGACACAGCCTAAGAGCCCGAAAGGGGAAAGGACTTTGAGTTAAACGGGCTTAGGGCGGAATGCCAACAAAGTAGCAGTAAAATGATATCAAAAAAGATAGGGACGGACGACCGGCGGGGGAACCCACTCAGGCAGACTTGGCAAATAGTGAGGCATGATTTCACCACCTGCGCGGAATGAGCACGTTCTGACGATAGGAATTCCTTAGAAAGTCACGAAATTCCCCAAACTTTTGGTATTACCTGCTGTGGTTGAAAGTTCTGATGTAACCGCAAAGGCCGTGAAAACTAACGATGTCTTTAACAGGAAGTCATCAGATTGAGCAAAGACACAAAGAAAAGATAGATCCGACAAAGGATTTAAAAAAATCGATTTAGGATTGGATGAGCACATTGCCCTAGCAGAATTTATTGATGGCTGCATAAAATTAAGTCAACAAAAACTAATCCAGCTGTGAAAAACTCTACGGCCTTTGCGAGATTCGTATCTAAGAAGCCAAGAGTAAAGCTTCAGTTTGGCCAACAACATCACCACTCTAGCCTTCCCCTTGGCGTCTTGGGTACGAATACCGCCAACACCACAGGGCTTTTTCCCAAGTGGGTCAAATGGTTAAAAGCTGCCAACCCCCCTAAAAAACTGATCCATCCGAAAGGTGTAGAACGACTGAAAGGATGTACAACTTACTCAAGAGAGCCGATTTTGCTTTAGCCTCCCCGAGAATGGGTTCAAAGATACGCATCAGTGGATTGGATAACTGGTTCTCTAGGTAGTACTTGGCGTCAATTGGAACGTGGTGTTTCAGCACATAGAGTGGATCCTCAGCTTTGGCATAGGCAGCAGTGCCTTTTCCCCCAATGGCCGTGATCACGTAGGGCACACGATCACCCAGCTGGGGTGCTGAACCGGGGTCCCGTTTGCGCATCTTGTTTGCCAACTCTACATGCGCCTGTTTACCCGCATACTCCTCGTCCGTCTTTGTGAGTTCCTTGCTGATCACCAACTGGGATATGTCGATGCGGTTGCAGAGCAGATCAGATATCACGTGCTGGGCATAGGTGATGGCTGCGCCGGGATCTCTGCAAAAAACAAATATGCAGACAGGTAAGTCCTGGGAAAGGCTTTGAGCAGCAGCGTTAACGCGTACACTCTCAGGGCTACCTGCATCGCATTCCCACTTAGTATCTGAAAAATCATCAATTTTTGCCGGTCGGAAAACTAGCATATAGTTGAACAATGGAGCTTCGCGGAACGAGCAGCTCCATCTACGAGCATTTCAGATAACCACCGAGCCACTCGCAGAGAATATGTTTCGCTTGACGAGTTTTCGCTCAGTTAAAGAATTGTGAGTGCGTGTGCCTGAGTCCACCGTTGACTCTTGCTCCCACCAGGACATGCGTCCTGAGTCACCTGCAGCTAATCGGTGAATTAGTACAGTTTGATTGGCTACGTTTCGCAAGAGGAGCACGGTGCTGGAAGGGATTAAATTCGTTAACCGAGGGTCCACTGTACTACCAGGAAGTAAACCATTTAGAGGTTTACGGATGCATGCGAGCTAGGGAGTGCTGAACGATGCTATAATTGGTTTCAACTTCACATGGAAAATGGCATACAGCCGTGGCGGCCATGGTTCGCAGAAGACAAAAGATATCTCGAGAAAGTGCAACGTCGTGTAACAAAGATAGTAAGAGGTTTGAAAACACCTCCTATACCCTCTGGGTTACAGTCAGCAAAGGGGTGATCCTGTCTGAGTTTACAAAATAATATATGGCGTTGAACAAGGATGACATTTTGGGGAGATGTCCCAGTGACACGAAGTTGTCCAAGCTGTAAATTCTTCAAGCAATGAGAAGTAGAACAATAGGCTGATCAACCACAAGCAGTCAGAGAAGCGACTTCCCTACAACGCTTGGATAATTACATGTGTTGTCTTGTTTCCTCTCGACAATCTGAACCCGAAATAACGACGCACAGACTCCAGACAAGAGTTATTTGTAAAAGCAATGCTACTTACAGTTTGTGAATACTATTTGAATAGTAATTACTTGAACAGTGCGTGCACAGCCTTGGCAACGATGTTCATGTACTAGTTTGCTGGTCTGTTGTCACTCTGAGACATGTGTGGAAGGCTCACGACCGCACGCGTCCACCAATGCTGCTAATATATAATTTTGAATTTATATGTGTTAGCGCCAGAAGGGCACTATCTATACAAAATTAATTTTGTAGAAAACCAGCATGGACAATGAACTACCTTAATTGAATTCTAGTGAATGCACGGGAGATTTGGACGATGTAGATCCTTCGATGTCTAAAAGTGACCCTGAGTGCTCAAGTTATATCAGCCAAGATTCAATCGCAATAA